GTTAAAGTGGTCTCAGACTGGATTATTTCTGCAGTGCAGATGCAGCCTGAGAGAAAGCCTTTCCTTGAAGATCTTAAAACTCTAATGGATTCATATGAGGAGAATACGTTTTTTCAGATACTTTGGAACTAAGCCATATAGCAGTGGTACTTAAACCTTTTACCCTTGGGACCCCCCCTTTATATCTACATGCAGACGTCACACCCATACCTACTCAACATAGTATATGAATAAAAATATTTTGTTTATTTAGTGTGCGTATTTTCACTTGCACATTCATGTATATTCATATTTTACTATTTTATAAGGAGCCAGTGTGGTGTAGTGGCTTGAGCACTGGCCTAAGACTCTGAAGATCAGGGTTTGAATGCCGGCTCAGCCATAGAAAACCACTGGGTGATCTTGGGTACGGCACACTTTCTCAGCCTCAGAGGATGGCAATGGCAAACCCCTCTGAAGAAATCTTATCAAGAAAACTCCATGATAGGGTTGCTTTGGGTCACCATAAGACGGAAATGACTTGAAGGCACACAACAACAAGGAAATGACATTATTCAGCTTAGAACAGTTTTAAGTAAATTCAATATAGTAGTCATCTTTTTAGTACCATTGCTCTCTATTTATTACCTATACAGTTTCCACAATCTGTATTGCTGTATTACTGCAACCACCAATGTGTTGACTATTGTCTATGAACTTGTGGAAATCATATTTCTGGAACAGACGTTGTGAAGATCTGAGAAAGCACATTTTACTATCGTCTGGTACTTGTCTACAACTTGTGGAAATCATTTTACTGGAACAGAGGTTGTTAGGACCAGAGGAAGCACAGTGGACATAGTCTGGGATATAAACTTCTCTATAGCACTTTGTATTGTGTATTCTGTGTTTTGTAGTATTAATGCAATGTGGTTACTTACATATAAATATATGATCATTGTATATATGGTACATATATTGATATATTGTATATATGGTAGAGTTGTGGTTTCATTCCTTTGGGACATTGTTGTAATACAGGGATCCCCAGACTTTTTGATCTGGGGGCCGGTTCGCTGGCCCCCAGATCTTCCGGGGGGGCAGAGGCACATGCGTGCATGCGCATGACTCCGGGCGCCATTTTGGAACACAAAATGGCGCCCAAGTAGTGTGATGCACACGCGACACCGGGTGCCATTTTTGTTCCAAAATGGAGCCCGGAGTCATGCACGCGCCCGGAGTCATGCGCATGCACGCGCACAATGCCACGCGCATGCGTATGACTCTGGATGCCATTTTGGTAGACAAAATGGCATCCGGCGGCGGGCGCAATTGGCGGTGGTGGTGGCACAGCGGCGGCAGCAGCGGCAGCGGCAGGACTGGCCATGGGCCGGTAGGAAGGCCTCGACGGGCCGGGTCCAGCCTGCGGGCCATAGTTTGGGGACCCCTGTTGTAATATAGATCATTTTACAATCGTCCCTCCTGATTCGCGGGGGATCCGTTCCAGACACACGCACACACACACATACTGTGAATGGGAAAATCACAAATATTCAAGACTGGTTGGTTATAATGGGCATGCGCTCTCATGTGCGGCGCTGTGCACGTACCTCGACTATGCACCCCATTTTGTCCCTCCCCGCTTGCCTTCTGTGAAAGACCAAGACCATGGATGCCAAGTCCGCAAACAGGGAGGGACAAGTGTATTGTCAGTTTCTCCCTGCTATTCTTTCTTTATAGGTCAGGACCAGCACTTTGAATTGTATGCTTCCTTTGCATAACCAGATAAAGCTGTTTTAACCAGGTTGTTATATGCTCCCTATAACTGGCCCCAATCAGCATTCTGGCCTCAGCATTTTGGAGTCTCTGACGCTTCCAAATAGTTTCCAAAAGCAACCTTACACAGAACATGTTACAGTAGTTCAAATGGCTTTTGCCTGCGCCTACTGGGAAAGACGAGATTCTTTCTCCTCACTCCTCTCCATCCTGTTGAGTCCGAATGCAAACTACTTTTGCATTGTGAACTCAAGTTTGCAGCCATTTCGGTAAACTGAGGGCATAAGAGGAAAGTGGGAGGAGGAAAGAGAAACCAGGATATTTTAAAAGCAGCTGAAAAAGAGGAAGGTCCCTAACAAATTGAGACAGCTGGGAAGTATGAAATCTATACGTATGAAACTGGAGTGTGTCCAGAGGAGGGTGACTGAAATGGTGAAGGGTCTGG